CTCCCCGCAAATCCCTGAGCCCATTTGCGGGGTGCCAACCCCCCCACCCAGGAGCCTGGCTGCTGGGGCCCCCGATCCCACTATCGCCCCTTCCCCTGTCCCTATTCCTGACTCCGACCCTGCCCCTAACACCGACCCAGTCTCTATCCCATTCACATCCTGTGATGCTATTGCCGCCCCTGGGGTTGACTCCTTCCATATCCCAGAGGACGACCCCCAAGGAGCGGCCTTTGTTTTTCCCTGTCCCGACCCACCAGGGGCTGCTATTTTCCCTCCGCCGCCCCCCATTGAGCCAGGGTCTGAGGCGGGCCATGTAGCGCCAGCCCATCGGACGCCACGTCGAGGGTCTGCCCTCTGCTTGCCCGTCTCGGTGGGCCACGGGGCTGTGACAAGGGCCCCGCTGGGGGATAGCCATAGATCAGTGACCCCACCCCCGCATACGCTGAGAGACGAGCTACGAGAGTTCCTTGAGGACGTCCGTGGCTCCCGCAACAAGGTACAGCTTGCACTCCAGCGATGGGGGGATTTTCATCAGATCCTCCGGGCCGCGAGGGCCCTCATGGGGGAGGGTAAGAGGACCGGAAGGCAGGCCGCCGCGGCCTACCAACAGGTCCGCCTCTTCCGTGACTCCTTAATCGCCTACGGGGTAGGTCACGGATTGTTGCGCGGCCCGACGGAGGCCGTGGGCGTCTCTGCCGGCGAGGATCCCCCCCAGCCCTCCTTATGGCACCGATCACCTTTGTAACATTAAACACCCGGGGCTGTAGGATGGGTCTCCGCAGGAGCCAGGTGCTCTCCTTCCTTCGGGAGGGGAGGTACTCTGTGATTTTCCTGCAGGAGACCCATACGGATCCGGCCGCTGAAGCTAGCTGGCGGCTGGAGTGGGGGGACAGGGTCTATTTTAGCCATCTCACAGTTCGTACGGCTGGAGTGGCGACCCTGTTCTCCCCCGACCTACGGCCCGAGGTGCTGGGGGTCGCCGAGGCTGTGCCAGGCCGCCTGCTGCACCTCCGGGTCCGCATGGAGGGGCTTGTGGTTAATCTCGTCAACGTTTACGCCCCGACATTGGGCCCGGAGAGGTTGTGTTTTTATCAGCAGGCGTCCGCCTTCCTCGGCACCTTGGATCCTCGCGAGTGCCTGGTCCTGGGCGGGGACTTTAACGCCACCCTCAAGGAACGGGACCGCTCGGGGACCGAGCAGCACCCGGCCGCCGCGGACGTCCCCCGGGAGATCGTCAAACATCACTCCCTGGTGAACGAATGGCGCGACCACCACCCGGATGATGTTTCGACGTTCACTTTTGTCCGGGTGAAGGTCCATCGGTCGTACCACTCCCGGTTGGACCGCATCTATATGTCACGCTTCCATCTTTCCTGGGCCCGCTCCTCCAGCGTCCGGCCGGCCCCCTTTTCAGATCACCATCTGGCCACCGTGACAGCCTCTCTCTGTGCGGAGAGTCCGGGGCCGGCCTATTGGCACTTTAATAATAGCTTGTTGGAGGATGTGGGCTTCGTGGCGTCCTTCCGGGAGTTCTGGCTGGCCTGGCGAGGGCAGCGGCGTGCCTTTCCCTCGGCGCGGCGGTGGTGGGACCTGGGAAAGGTGCGCACCCGGCTCTTCTGCCATGACTACACCCGGGGTGCCAGCCGACGGAGGGATGCGGCGATAGGGCAGTTGGAACGGGAGGTCTTAGAGCTGGAGAGGCGTCTGGCCGCCAGCCCCAGTGATCCATCCCTCTGCGGAGCGTGCCGGGAGAAGCGGGAAGAGCTCCGGACCCTCGAGGACCATCGGGCCCGAGGTGCCTTTGTTCGATCCCGCATCCGCCTCCTTCGGGAGATGGATCGCGGCTCCCGCTTCTTCTACGCCCTGGAGAAAAAGAGGGGGGGCCAAGAAGCATGTGACCTGCCTTCTAGCAGAGGACGGCACCCCCCTCATGGATCCGGCGGAAATGTGCGGGAGGGCCAGGGCCTTCTACGCAGGCCTTTTCTCCCCGGATCCGACCGATCCTAACGCTTGCAGAATGATCTGGGATGAACTCCCGACGGTCAGCGTGGGCGACCGAGCCCGGCTGGAGCTGCCTCTCACTCTGGCCGAGTTCTTGGAAGCCCTCCGCCGCATGCCCACCAATAAATCTCCGGGCATGGACGGGCTGACCGTGGAGTTCTACCCCGTGTTTTGGGACGTCCTCGGCCCAGACCTTGTCACCGTCTGGGCCGAGTCCTTGCAGGGCGGGGTCCTCCCCCTTTCGTGCAGGCGAGCCGTGCTTGCCTTATTGCCGAAGAAGGGGGACCTCCGCGATTTACGGAATTGGCGTCCCATCTCGCTCCTCAGCACGGACTATAAAGTCGTAGCGAAGGCCATCTCGCTGTGGCTAGGGTCCGTGCTGGTGGACGTGATCCACCCAGACCAGACCTACACCGTCCCGGGCCGCACCATCTTCGACAACTTGTATCTGGTCCGGGACCTCTTGGAACTCGGGTTTAGGGATGGTCTGTCGTTCGCCCTCCTGTCCCTGGATCAGGAGAAGGCATTCGACAGGGTGGACCACGGGTATCTCCTGGGCACGCTGCGAGCGTTTGCCTTCGGGCCCCAGTTTGTGGGTTTTCTCCAGGTGCTGTACGCCTCCGCAGAGTGTCTGGTCAGGCTCAACTGGACCCTGACCGAACCGGTCAGCTTCGGGCGAGGAGTACGTCAAGGGTGCCCCCTCTCGGGCCAGCTGTATGCTCTGGCGATCGAGCCCTTCCTCCGTCTCCTCTGTAGGAGGTTGACGGGGTTGGTGCTGCGGGAGCCGGAGCTGCGGCTGGTCCTGTCGGCGTACGCCGACGACGTGCTCCTCGTGGTCCAGGACCCGGGCGACTTGGTGCGGGTGGAGGCTTGCCAGACCATCTACTCGGCGGCCTCCTCCGCCCGGGTCAACTGGGTCAAGAGCTCTGGCCTGGTGGTAGGGGACGGGTGGCAGGCGAGCTCCCTCCCACCCGCGCTTCAGGCCGTCGGGTGGAGCGCTGGTCCGCTGCTCTATCTCAGCGTTTACCTTTCTGCCATGCATCCGTCTCCGCCGGAGAACTGGCTAGGTTTAGAGGGCAGGGTGTCGGAGCGGCTCTGGAAATGGACAGGACTGCTCCGGTGTCTCTCCCTTCGAGGGAGAGCACTGGTGCTCAATCAACTAGTCCTGTCCATGCTCTGGTACCGGCTCAACACCCTGGTCCCGGCCCCGGGCTTCCTGACCACTCTCCGGACATTGATTCTGGAGTTCTTTTGGTCAGGACTGCACTGGGTCTCTGCGGGGGTTCTCCATCTACCCCTGGAGGAGGGAGGGCAGGGCCTGAAGTGTCTGCACGCTCAGGTCCACGTCTTCCGCCTCCAGGCCCTGCAGAGGCTCCTTTATGGTGCAGGTAGTCCGGCATGGAGCGTATTGGCGCACGCCTTCCTGCGCCGCTTCCGAGAGCTCCGATATGACCGGCAGCTCCTTTGTTTCCATCCGAGAGGTCTTCCGCGAGGCCTCTCTGGACTGCCAGTCTTCTACCAGGACCTCCTCCGGACCTGGAAACTGTTTTCAGTGACCAGGTCCGTGGCGGCCACAGTGGGGGCAGATCTCCTTGCAGAGCCCCTGCTACACAACCCCCAGCTTCGTGTGCAGGTGGCGGAGTCCCCCATGGTGCGCCAGAGGTTGGTCCTGGCAGAAGTCACCAAAGTCGGAGACCTCCTGGACTACGACCGGGGAGACTGGCTGGATCCCCCTGACGCTCGCTCAGCGCATGGGGCTCTCCAGACCTCGTACTCCCCGGCGCGTACTTCAGGAGGTGAGGGCCGCTTTGCCGCCCGCTGCTTGGGACTATCTCGACCGGGTCCTGCGAGAGGGCACGCCCTGCCCACCCTCCACTCCGAGCCCTCCAGACTTTTTCATCGGGCCCCTGCCCCGTGGACCCAACCGGCCCCCTCCCCGTCCATTCGCCATGAGCCGGCTGAACGATCTACAGCCGGTTCTGTTCCGGACCACGCCAAGGAAACATCTATACACGCTCGTGCTCCATGTTCTTCATGTCCTCACCCTCGCGTCCCGCCCCGATACGAAGTGGCGGGACCTTCTGCCACCTCTGGAGGGTGAGGAGCCCCGGTGGGCCAGCCTTTATTCTGCTCTGATCCCGAAGCCCACCGGGGACATCAGTTGGCAGCTCCTTCACGAAGCCGTGAGCATGGGCGTGTACTTGGCACGGTTTACCCCTATCCCAGACACCTGCCCCTCTTGCGGCGTGAGGGAGACCCTGGCGCATGTTTACCTGGAGTGCGCCAGGCTGCAGCCCCTATTCCGGCTCCTCACGGCTATTTTGTTAAGATTTTGGTTGCACTTTTCTCCTCACCTTTTTATTTATGCACTCCCTATCCGTCGCCCCACAAAGTCGCGGGACCTCCTGGTCAACCTCCTTCTGGCCCTAGCGAAACTGGCCACCTATAAAACCAGAGTGAGGAGGTTGGCCGATGGAGTCTCCTGTGACTGTGGGGCGTATTTCAGGTCCTCCGTTCTTTCACGTATCCGGGCAGAGTTCCTCTGGGCGACGTCCACTGGCTCCCTTGACGCCTTCGAGGAGCGGTGGGCGCTGTCCGGGGTTCTCTGCTCGGTGTCCCTGTCTGGTTTGCTTCGTTTGACCCTTTGACCTCACTCCTGTCCCTGTTCTTTTATTAGTTGTCCCCTGTAATTTTTTGGTCTCCAGGTTCTGTGGACCCCCCCTTAAGCTCGGGGGGATCCTTTAGCACTTCGCCCGCCCACTTCCTGGATCCCAATAGGTCTGGTCACTCAGGGAACAGAAAACTACTCATCCAGTGACCAGTATATTTGCCCTCTACCAGACTCCTGTACCCCACTGGTCTGGGTCTGTCACAGCACCTAAAGACCTTTTGGGGATCAGGGCCCTGGAGACATTTTTGTTATAATGGAAGCTGAGATTCTGCACTGGCTAAGCCCCTAACGCCTCCATCTTCTTCCTCTCCTGGCAGCTCTCTCCAGAATGGCCTTGAGTGATGCTCTGTACCCTGGCAACCCAGCGAGGCGGAACATGGTGGTGCGGTTACACCAGGAGCTGATCAACTGCGTAGAGCTCAATTTTGATGCCACCAATGAGCTGATTGGAGCCTTAAACACACACTGTCAGTGCAAGTTGCAACCCATTAAAATGAACAAGAACGGCACCATCCGGGAGAACTGCGACGTATTCCTCGCAGCCATAAAGTCCATCCAAGACATTATGCAGGTCATCGACGGAAGGTTGAAGAGCAACGTGGACCCAGATCTCTACCGAAAGCTTCACGATTTCCAAGAGACAGACACCACGAAGATGCAGATTCTGCGCTCTCGGGTCGCAGGGGTGAGCGGGCTCACTGGGACTGTGGCCATGGGGATCTTCATCAAGTTGGCGTTATCGCAGGTGACGACCAGAGTCCTGAGCCAAACAACCATGATCGTGGCCAAGCTCGGTGCCTGCGTGATCGGCAGTGTGGCTGGTGTGTTACTAGGCGTAGGTGTTGATTTGATTCTCAGCACAATCCTGGGTGCCAGAGAGAGAGACCAACTGGAGGTGGCGATTCGGGAGCTCAAGACACTGGTGAATGAGTACAAGCCAGCCTCCAAGGAGTATTACAAAACCGCAATCAAGACCAGCTCAATGCTGCCCTAGCCGGAGGAGAATCAGCTGCTCAGACGACTCCACACCAAGCTGCAAGTTACCATTACTTGGAAAAATAAGGCCGCGGGTATCAGCTCCCATCTAGTGTGATTTAGGCTAGTGACATTAAAGCCAGAACAATAAATGATATCTAGCTCTTACATAGTGTTTTTCATCAGCAGAGCTCAAAGCGCTTCAGGCTTCATTAATGTCTTTATCCTCCCACCATGTCTGGGGATAGGGCCGTGCTATTACCCTCATTCTACAGATGGGGAAACTAAGACCCAGAAATTCAAAGCTATTAAAGCATTTAACTTCCACTGATTTTAGAGCAATTGGCTCAGGCTCTCTGCAGACTCAGGCAACATCATGGATTTTAAGGGAAGCTAGGTGCCTAAAGTGACTTGCCCCAGCCAATACAAGAAGTCTGTATTGTAGCAGAGAATTGCCTGAGTTTCCCAAGTCACAGACTAGTGCCCAACAACCACAGGGCCATCCTTCCCCTCTAGCTGGTGTTTTTCATCTGTAGTTCTCAAAGCGCCTCAGAAAGGTCAGTATCAATACCCTGAATGTACATGAGGGAAACTGAGTCACAGAAAGGACTCAGCTAGCAGGCCAGGAATAGCACCTGGAATAAGAACATCAAAATAATTCATTTAGACTTTTCCCCACCAAAACCGACATATCCTCCCAAACATTTTAATTTTGACAAAACAGCCTTTTCCAATGGAAAACTGTTCTATCGAATGCTTTCCGGACAGCTCTGTGCCCGGCCCAGGCTGGAGAACCTACCTCAGGGTTTTCTGCTCCAGCCCAGATCTGGGAGTTGAACTAGAGAGGAGCCCAAAGACAGTAACTTCCCCAACCGTTGCTACGGTCTGTCAGGTATTTAAATTCAGGGCCTCTTCTCTGAATCTGAGACTAGGTAGGAGGGGGGATTCCGGGACGATGGTGAGCTGAGACACTCCAGCCTAGGGACCCAGATGGAAAATGTTACTGTCCTAAAGGGCGTCTGGTCGTTTTAAACCCATTCTAGAGCAGGGGTTCTCCAATGTTTATGGCTGGGCCCCCTTTGAAAATATTTCAGCTGTGACAAGCCCACCACACCCTCACAAAGTGACAGCAAATCACTGGACATACTCTCAGGAGCACTAAATGAAGCATGTCGGCGCTATCCCTGCAGTCAATGGCGCTGAAGCCCCAGTGGCTTCCCTACGCTGCCCAGGCTGGAGATCAGCTCACTCAGCCGCATCTGTCTGGGCATCGCTGGCGCACTCCACCCTGGTGCCTAGCTGGTCACGACCTGGGCTGGTAAGAGCCTGCATTGGCTTCAGCTCTGTTCTCGTCTCTCTCTGGCCTGGGTGTAAACTGTCCTCCTACGTCCCTGTTGCTGCTGAGCTGTAATGAAAGTGAAACCTCATCCTGTCTGAGGCATATGGCACTGCACCCGTGCTCCTGCGCTGCTGCTAGCGGCGGCACTGCCTTCAGAGCTGGGCGGTCGGAGAGCTGTACCTCCCTCGGCAGTGCCCTTGAAATATGGTACCCTTAGATCTCACAACCCCCTACAATAGCCTCACACCCCCTTTTGGGTCAGGACCCCCAGTTTAAGAAATGCTGATAGAAGTTTCCAAAATGATCTTGTTGGTCTGGTGCAGAAACACTTCCGCCCGGTCTGGCTCACATCCCTGTCTGGCTGTGAGGACGGGAGACCCCCTCCGGGTGCAGCCCTGCCGAGAGCTGGAACCCGCCACTGGCCCCCTGGGCGCAATGCAGGCCCTTCAGGGTATGTCTGCACTGCAATTAAACACCCGTGGCTGGCCTGCCGGGCTGCAAACTAGCAGTGTAGACGTGCAGGCTTGGACTGGAGCCCAGGTGGTGGGACTGTGCCTGGGGGGACGGTCCCAGAGCCCGGGCTCCAGCCTGAACCCAGATGTCTACATGGCAATTTGTAGCCCCCCAGCCTGAGTCAGGCCAGCCGCAGCCGAATTGCTGGGCTTTTATTCCAGCATTGAGATACCCTGGACTCCCCCGTTGCTTCAACGTGCCCTCTCCAGGGCTCCACCCTGACAACACACTGCCTCCGGTTTGCAGTATCACTCTGTCGGGGCCCTCGGCAGCCACTTAGCAGGTAACAAACTCACACACTTTGCACAGCCTCTAGCGCAGCAGTGCCCCTGTGTATGTCACTCCGCTGGCCTCTGCTGGGCGGGGGAGTCACCCTGGGAAGGAGCGACCCCGCAGCTGGGAATGAGGGACTGTGGGACAGCCAGGTTCTTTAATAGAATGTGCTCTTTTATTAAAAAAAAATAATCTATGTACAAGCAGGCATGAGATTCCTGATTCTTCATCAGCAACCAGAGACAGTCCCTGCCCCAGCTGAGATCAGGACCCCGTTGTGCCAGGCCCTGCCCAGACACAGTCCCTGTCCTGAATCGCTCACAGTCCAGACAAGACAGACAAAGGCCGGGTGGGTCAGCAGAGAAAGGAGGGGGTTTCCCCACGTCCATATGACAGAACTGGCAAAAGAACCCAGCCGCTCTGACTCCCGGCCCAGTGCCGTACTCACTGGACTCCTGGTTATAGTGGGGCCTGCTCCAGCTCCTTCCCTGGCTCTGGGCAGCCCCTTGCTGCCTGAGGTTAAGGAAAAATCATGAGAGCGGCTGAAAACCAGGAGATTTTTAAAAAAGAATCCAGGCAGGGCTGGGCCTAGTAGCTTCCTGGCATCTGGGCTTCCTGGGGCTGCCCTGCCCGGCATTTCTCCACGCTGGCGGGGCCACAAGCCCAGGTAGCCAGGAGTTCCCCATCCTCCTGAGACTCTGGGTGCTGGGGGCGGAAGCGAGAACTGTCACGATGGAAATACAAGAGACGCCCTCGGCTCCCCCGCACCGAACTCGCCCTGCGCGGCTGTCAGCTTCAAGGGATTTCGGTTCCTCCTTTCTAGCGATTCCAAAGGGAGTCAGGAGCTGAAATACCTCTGTAGGTCAGGGCCCTTCTTTCAGTAGTGAAGACAAGGCCACTGGGTGCAATTGGGAATCGCCCCCCAACACCTTCGAGTGGCTGGAAAGAACTCACTTTGGTAAGTTTGTGGTGCTTTGATCTTTCCTCTCTCTGCGCTGAAACTTGCTCAAAACACACCTGAGCTGGAGATTCAAAAGCCACCGGCTTTCTTGTGAGGTCTGGGGCCTTCCTGGCCTTGTCTGGGTGCCTTCAGTGCATTGAAATCGGGAAGAACAGCGGGAAAACATTTTATTATGCGCAACTAGGACCATCAGACTGGCCAGACTTCCTCAGCCAGGAGGCCCTTTGCCCATGTCCTGTCTCTGGTTCAGAGAACCCCATGGTACCAGATGGTTCAGAGAACCCCATAGTAGCAGGTTAGAGAGATTCTGACTCAGGGACTGTTCCTTCCTGACAGCCGCTAGTTAGAGGTGGGTGTGATGGGTTGGACCCCCTGGGATGTCACCTGGTGTGCTGGGATGCCACTGAGTCAGACTATTCTGCCAGCCTGGGTCCCCTTTACCTGGTCTTACTGGGCTCAGCTCCACAGCCTTTTCCAGCCCAGCACATAGGCAGGGTCACACCCAGCTGCACAGAGAGACAGAGATCCGCTCTGAGATGGCTCAGCTTAAGGGGATTGCCACAGCACCCAGATGTCCACCCTCCCTTGGGGTACAAACCCCAAATTATAGGAAATTCGCCTCTTCCCTCAATGTGGAAGAGGGTATGCACAATTCCCCCCCCCCCCGTCATTAGAAATCACATTGGGTTATATTATAAACCAGAAATAAATTTATTAACTATAACAGGTGTATTTTAAGTAGTTAAGGAGGTAGCAGACAGAACAAGGCAGATTCCTAAGAAAATAAAACAGAGCATGCAAACTAAGCTTAATACACTAAAGAAACTGGTCACATGCATGTCCTCACCCTAAATGTGGTTCTAATAATCTTCTTCACAGGCCAGACGCCCTTCCAGCCTGGCCCCAGTTCTTCCCCAAGTTCAGTTTTAGCTGTTTCCAGCCATCATCTTGGGTGGGGTAGCAGGGGAGAACTGACGACCTGGATTACCTCACTCCCCACCCTTAAATAGGATTTGCATAAGGTGGGAGTCCTTTGTATCCTAGTTTCACCCCCACACACACACACAGCTTCTCATGGAAAAGTACAGAATTCAAGCTGGTTTCCCGTACCAGGTGACATGATCACATGCCTCTGTAGGGCCCCTGTAGCCATTCTTCCCAGGCTGACCCACAGGTTCACAGGAAGACTAAGCTCTTTTACAGTGTCCATGGTCCTTGTTGATGGGCCATCTGCCCTGTCTGGCTTTTCCATTGTTGTACCTGAAGTGTTAGCAGGGGGCATCACCCAGAGTAACATAGTTGAAATATTGATACATAGTCAGTATTCCTAATTTCAGATACCGAAATGATACATGCATACAAATTGGATAATCACATTCAGTAAATTATAACCTTTCCAATGATACCACGGTAGCAGGTTAGGGAGATTCTGACTCAGGGACAGTTCCTTCCTGACAGCCATTAGGCAGAGGCAGGATCCTGCCCTGGAGCATGAGAGTGTTTAATCTTATCAAATTTAACTAAAAAAACCACCTTCTCTAATGTCACTCTTGCTCTCCTCATCAGCCATATAAATGTCAGATCCCTTTTCTGGGTCTTGCTGGGCTCTCACCTCAGCAACATCATGAGGCAGTGAATCCACAGGTGAATTTCGGGGTTATATGAAACAACATTCCCTCTACTCCATTTCAAAGGGGCTGCCTATCAGTTCCATCACACGCCCCCTTGTCCGGGGCCTGGGGATCCAGGTGGGGAATTTCTTTCACCCCATCACCCACGCTCTCCGCTTTGTTTCCCAGCCCCGTGATGCTGTCCCTGTTCTCCGGCACAGAGAGCGAAAGGCAGGGGCTCATGCGCGCCAGCCAGTCCCTGCACAACTCGCATCTCGGCCATCCATGCGGTGCTCCGCATCCTCAACCAGCACCTTGACACC